CACACACACAAACACAGGCTTACACACACAAACACAGGCTTACACACACACACACAAGCACAGGCTTACACACACACACAAACAGGCTTGCACACACAAACACAGGCTTACACACACACACACACACACACACATTCATTTGCACACTCATACACACACACACTCATTCACTTGCACACACACACACACACACACTTGCTTCACTATATTAGTAAGCCCATCTAATAGATTTCCATAGTTTTTCTATCAGGTTAATGACATTAAATGATATGAAACCTGTGCAAAGCACTAGATTTATGTACAGACATGATTTGGCTGATTTCACTAGTCTGTGTTCAACCAGTTTCACTACATTAGTGAGGACTTCACAAGTATAGTCAAACCTGCATACACAGCATTAATAACTTTATTAAATCATGCAAAGTTTTCTCTTTGTCTGTAGTCTACTGTGATATAAAAGTCTATGAAATTACTTGTGTACACTTGCATATCTGTGTGTTATTGCCTCTATTCCCGATGGATCCTGCTTCTTTCCCTTCCTGTTCACTTTGAATTGGTGGAAGTGCACACTTTGTGCCACTGTGTGTGTGTGTGTGTGTGTCACAGCTGAATCACAGCGTGGAAATGGAAAAAACAGACAGTTTCAAACAGTTTTCCCTGTCTGCCATTTGTCAGACCAACACATAGTTCAGCCTAGGGCTTGGCGATATGGCAAAAAAAAACTCGATCACCTAGTCAACTTGAAAAAGTAACTACAGCATGATTCAAGTAACTTTTTCTTTATAAACCCTCTAGTTAAAGAAAGTTCTATTCCAACTGCAGCACACATGATGTAAATGTTCAACAAATCACTTGTTAAATAACTTTGCAGAAAAGACGCATGAACTACAAATCTTGTACAAACTTGTCTTATACATAAATGTTCAGAAATAATAAGAGGAAACTGCTTTAAAAAATTCTCAAAGTCAAGGTAATTCAAATTCAAAATGACTGAAGAAGGTTTAACACCAGTAGACTATTATTAACTATAAATGTTCTGTAAAAACAATGAAAAATCATAAATAAACAATGAACAGCAGCTTTAATTTTTTTATTTGATTGCACTGCTTTTCCATTGTTTTTCAGTTAATCATTCTTTTCTCTTTACTGTTATCATGGGCATATTGTCAAAGTGTAATTCTTATCTTTGAATATCTTTGTTCTCATTTTTTAATAACAAAGATAAAATAATGACAAAGCATTTTATCTTCGCCCACTTTGGCCTAAATATCCGCCTTTATTTTGTTATATTATGCTACCTTGAAAGGCTTTGTCTTTATAATAGGGACATTAGTTTGGCTGTAATGCTCAGACAGCTTGCAAAATAGAAAAACCAACATGACAAAGAAATCGTGATATGATATTTTTGCCGTATCGCCCACCTCCAGATCGATGCATCCCTACTTTATGAGCTGTGTTCGTGTGTGTGGTTCAGTCGGCAGATGCCTGTGTATAACGGAGATCACCGCTGGCAGCAGCTGAACCCGAGCCCCGGCGGGCCGTACCTGGCGTACCCGATCCTGTCGTCCCCGCAGGCCCCCGTCACCAGCGATTACCCCACATACTACCACGCCATCATGCCCACACCCTGCCCTCCCGTCATGGGCTTCTACCAGCCCTTCCCGGGGCCGTACACGGGGCCCCTGCAGGCCGGCGCGCTCAACCCCGTCTCCGACTGCAGCCAGACGCAGAGAGGGAGAGGCGTCTCACGAAACCCCGTCCTAAACAAGGTACGGGACGAGTCCTTAAAGGAATATTTCACCCAAAAATGAAAATGTGATGTTTATCTGCTTACCCCCAGGGCATCCAAGATGTAGGTGACTTTGTTTCTTCAGTAGAACACATTTGATGATTTTTAACTTTAACCGTTGCAGTCTATCAGTCGTATAATGCATGGCAATGGTAACAAAATCTATGAGAGTATAAAAAACATTCACAGACAAATCCAAATTAAACCCTGCGGCTCGTGACGACACATTGATGTCCTAAGACACGAAACGATCGGTTTGTGCCAGAAACCGAACAGTATTTATATCATTTTTTACCTCTAATACACCACTATGTCCAACTGTCTTTGAGCGCGCGCACGGCATCCGGTGCGTGAGGTGTGTACGCGCTCTGGCGTAGTTTACGTTAATGGGTGTGTTGATATCCAGCCGAAGAGCAATCAACCATAACTTCAGGCGAGCAGGCTCAGAAGTTGGGAATACGTGGAAAGTCATAACTCCCGAATGAGTTCGCGCGAGAGAACGTAATATTTTAGTTTTAAGTCGGTTTGAACAATCCGGATAAGCGCAAGTAAGTACCATTTTGATTAGCCGTCGTACCTACAATGACTGTGCACTGTGTAAACAATGAGTGACGTATACGCGCGAGAGATCACTTCCGGCGCTTGCGTAAACTACGCCAATAATATTTTGTATCATCTCATGAATATTCATAAGAACAGTTTTAATGTATTATAATATTCACCTATTTGTGGTTATAGCTTTAAAGAGTATGATGGTTTATAACACACAGTGAACATGTTGCATCCACTTAAGTTACAATGGATTATATTTATATTGTAAGTCTCATATCTTACATCTTACTTATGCTACTTTACTTAAAGCAAACAAAGACCACTTATAAGTAATAATAACAATACATTTTTTTTCTCAAACAGCCATAAGATCAGATATCAGATCAGATGAATGTGTAATATGACACATTTGCTTTGAACTATTTTTATTGTACTCTCAGTTTGATTATTTTGATGGTACTCTGTAGACAGCTGTTGATAAGTAACTCTGCAACTCCTTGCAAATGATACATTCCATCATCTGTCCCGAGCGTCTTTCACAATTAAATATTTGAGGGAATTTCCAGTCTTACAAATGCAGAAACTGTGGGAATTAGTAGAATTATGCACATTACCTGTAATTCCATGCCGAAATTCAAGCCCTGATTTACATTGTCAAAGATCATTATGGCTGACTTAAGTCTAGTACTCTCAAAAAGCTCCCCTTATAATCAGTAAAGCTGTCTATACACAGTTTGATGAATGAATCTCTTACATCATACGTACACTACTTTCTTTCAAAACAAGAAAGAATAAAAATGTACTGACCCCAAACTTTTGAACGCTAGTGTATATTGTTAGAAAAGATTTCTATTTTAAATAATGCTCTTCTTTTTAACTTTTTATTCATCGAAGAATCCTGAAAAAATCTATCACAGTTTCCAAAAAAAATATGAAGCAGCACAACTGATAATAAATCAGCATATTATTATGATTTCTGAAGATCATGTGACACTGAAGACTGGAGTAATGATGCTGAAAATACAGCTGCGCATCACAGAAATAAATTATATTTTAAAGGATATTAAAATAGAAAAACCTTATTTTATATTGTAATAACATTTTGCAAGATTACAGTTTTTTTCTGTATTTTTGATCAAATAAATGCAGACTTGATGAGCAGAAGAGACTTCTTTAAAACACATTACATGAGTTGCCATACTTTCTACAAGCGTAAACTGAGGATAGTGCGGATATTATGTCATTGATATGCGACAATGGATTTTTCTTTGGATTTACAAGTCCTTGGGAACTTTTGGGATAACCTAAGTACACTACTGCATTAAATATATCACACTGTGCAAGCATTTTTGGGATATTTCATTATGAAAATCGTACATATTGTGCCTTTAACCCACACAGTCAAGTCTGCTCACTAGTGTAAACTAACGCTCATGTGTGTCGCTCGCAGCAGCCAGTGGCTCAGCCAATGAGAGGCAAGCGTCCCGTGATGCGGAGCGTGGCGGTGCAGAAGGAGGTGTGTGCCGCCGGGCCTGATGGGAGATCCAAGACGGTGCTGCTGGTGGATGCAGCGCAGCAGACAGGTACTGAGCTGACCTTTGACCTTTACAGGCTACTTGCAAGACTTAAAAAGGTCTTTTAAAGCTGCAGTCGGTAACTTTTTTTTATGTGTTCGAAATTTACTAAATTAATATAATAAGCGAGTGCATCATGAATCCATTTTCCAAACCGTGTTCTTGGCTTATCCTGAACCACTACGGTACACCTATAATAAATAAGTGTTTATATTCGGACTATTTCAGACTGGCACTGGTGGAACCGCTGCGGAGTAGACATAAACAGAGAGAAGAATGTTCTTCTGCAAGACGCACGCAGTTCTGTTCTGTATTTAAAAGTTAAGGACTGCAGCTTTAAGTCTTCCAAAAATTAAAGCCTAGAAAGCTCTTAAATTGAAGCAGAAAGTCATGGCATTAAATGTTGCATGAACTGCAAAAAATGAATCTCTTCCTCAGTATTTTAGTTTTGTTCTAAATGTCCTTAAATCAAGATACATTTACTGGAGAAGCAACATGAACACATGAAGACTTGTTTTCTGAACAAAACGAAGATTATGCTTAAAATAAGAACAAATATCTGTCACTGGGGAATTAAAACTTTTCCCTGTGAATTAATTAGATTTTTTCGGAGCTCATTTGCAAATATTTGATCTTGCTTTAATTGTAAAATCAATTCATTTTGATCGTTTTCTCGTAAAACAAGACTTCTTATTGTCATTTTGCGTCTCCAGTAAATGATTCTTGATTTAAGAATCTTTAGATATTTGCACTGGAAGACAAGACAGAGAATATTTTTTGCAGTGTGATCAGAAGGTACAGTTAAAGTTATTTCCATATTCTAGTGTTTGGACGCAGAGATGTTCAAGCCATAAACATTTTTTTTTTTTTAAATGAATTTAAAAGGAAAGGAGATTTTTGTATTTTGAAACTGTGAAGTGTTGCTAATACAAGAGGCCATATTGATGTTCCCTTCGATTTATTCCTTATTAAACATACTTTCATAAACACTGCAGAACACCTGCTTTATTCCTGAGCCAGTGAGCCCTGAGCTCTGAACACACTGTGTTTTCAGATTTCCCCGGCGAGGCGTCTGGCAGCGTCAGATGTGCGTCGGATCAGGCGAGTCCTCAGTGGAAGAATAAAGCTGGGCACAGACGCACGTCTCAGCAGGAGTCGTCCAGCGAGCAGGGAGCCAGCGAGGCCGACATCGACAGCGACAGCGGCTACTGCAGCCCCAAACACAACCAGGGAGCCGCCAACACCTCCACCAATCAGCCCACGGCTGCCGCGGTACGTTCAGCTCGTCTGGCCTGAGACACATGTCTGTTTGACTTCATTATAGTGAGGAGGAATGTGTGTTATCATCCCTCATTTGATTTCAGCGAATCAGTACGAGCGAACGCACACAACCTGATTAATATTTATGAATCCAGCAGCTTGTTAATCCTTAGTGCGTTTTATATTGTTCTTATTAGTAGAATTCGTATTATTATTATTATTATTATTATTATTATTCATAGTTTCCCCCCTCATTTTTTTTCTTTCAGATATTTAAAAAGCTGTGCCATTTTACAAACACACACACACACATATATATATAGAGGGTTGGACCTTCAAAATGATCTATGATTTGTTGGAATCGGACGAAAAATTAGTCACACACAAGTCGACAAAGTCAGTTCTGAGAAAAATCAAGTTAAAGTTTTCCAAAGCAAAATTAGCTAGCAACATTGCATTGTTTCTTCCACTTCCTTTCTTAATATTACTCACTAGCTATATTAATAATCACAATATAGCCATTTTCAGAACAGATGCAAAAAAACAACAATAGAACAAATATAAGAAAGAAACAAATAATGCGTTACTTTTTACATTTTACATCTAAACAAAAACATTGAAGTAAGAAAAACAAATAATATAAATGCAAAAATCACTTCAGTGTGTTCATTACAAATAAATTGATTATTAAATCTACAAAAGCAGTTCAATCAAGAGCAGCGATCTTTTCTGTTATTCTTAGATTAACATTAATGAGACGTACAAATAAAGATACTTTTAGATGTTTAAGTACTATTTGGAGCATTGGGATCACTAGACGAGGGCTTAATGTACTCATTTTTGTGAAAACCTCAAATTCGACCAAAATCAACATTTTTCACTTTTTTTGATTGTAGCTCAAAATTAGCCCATGCGCATTCACACTCATTTAGCCGGCACGGGTCACATATGGTTGCTGTTCTCTCATCTCTCTCTGTGTGTGTGTGTGTGTGTGTGTGTGTGTGTGTGTGTGTGTGTGTGTGTGTGTGTGTGTGTGTGTCT